AGCGTGCTGAATTTAGGGCAAGCGCAGGAGTGTGACGCAAGGAGACACATCATTGCAGTGTCGTGTTTTGGTAGGTGGTGGTTTGCAGATGTTGTCGTGTAGATTCTGGCTGTGCTTACCACCACCTTTAAAGAAGAGAGAGCGTTTGCGCGCAGTGGTCTTGCTCCGGGTTTGTCGTCCGGAGTTGGTTCTCCTGTTGCATTCAGGGTGCGGACTCGGTAGGATCCCGCTCGAGAATGAAGTCGCGGAAGGGATCGTGTGCGACGGGGCCGTGGCGAGTGTGTCAGGTTCGAAGGGGACGTGTGTGCTTCTCTAAGTCTCGTTGTAGTTACTGTAGTTGTGTAGAGTTTGGTGTTCTGGAGTACCGACGATCGACCACCGATCAGCTGATTTTCGCTGATTCAAACGCATCGAAGATCTGCGGGTCGAACCGTAGCGAAGCGGAGGGGCGAAGAGAGGGATCCGTTAGAGGTCTCCCGTGTCATTGCTGCTGTTTGCACGACTTGGTGTCTCTGCGCTTGAGGACTGCGCGCGTGTAGCTGGACAGTGCGGAGCGAAGCGCAGCACCTTAAGCGTCTCGTGTCATAATGTACCATAAGTGTGCGAAGCATTTGTATAGTATAGTTGCAGCTTGTGGCTCTGGCTCTGCCCAGAGCTTAGAGCTAGATCCAGGTAGGTTAGCCGTAGGATTTCTTTTGAGCCCACCGCCGCCCCAATCGCCTCCAGGAAGTTTGTAGTTCCTTGCTAGGCCAGGAAAGACTGTGTCGGCATTTGCACATCCCACGAACAAAAGAGCGTGTGCGCGCTTGCGTCTTAGAAATGTCACGGCGTCTATGGGCCGGAGGGTGGGTAGCTTGTACATGTCGAGACTAGAGACGGATACTGAGATTGGCCCACGTTGGCGCACGTGTAAGGTGCAGCGTTCCAGAGTCTATCAGAGTCTTGTTGCAGCCGTGTGGCTTTGTGCAGTGATCCAGTACCGGGGTAGTCCGGTGGCGCAAGTTGCGGGGGCCGCCAGAATCTTTGATCTCTTGCCCGCCCTCGCCCGATCGAAAACTTTGGGCGGGGTGCATGTTTGTCAGCGACGCGGCTGATGGTTATTTTTGTCGGCACTTGGCTGATGTCGGCTAGGACTAGGATCGATTGTTAGCCGTGAGGTCAGTGAAATGTTTCTGGCCGTACTTTCCACCACCTTCCTAAGACGCGGATCGTGCGGAGCGAAGCGATTNNTGTAGCTTGCGGAGCGAAGCGACGCATGAACGGTTTGTATTGTTTCTCTTGCTCCTGTTAAGTTTGCTGCAGCTTGGCAGCAAACAGCTTTCAGTAGGCTAGCTTGCATTTGAGCCCACCGCCGCCCCATTCGCCTCCTGGAAGTTGATTTCTTTCAGGCTTGGGTAGGCTGGACGGACTTGGCTGCGCAACCCACAGCAAAAGTGCGTGCTTGCCAGCTGCAAGGGGTCTGGTTTCACGGCGTTTGAAAGGGTAGGTGGGTGGGCCTTCTGTGACAGTGTAACTTGAGAGACGAAGGAAGGGAAGTTGGGTTCAGGACTTGCTTCGTTGGCTTGATTGGGTCTCTCTGTTCAGGGTTGCGGACTCGCTAGGATCCCCGCTTCCTGGATATTTGAGGTTTCGTGCTGGATAGGTTCTTAGACGACATATTTCTAGCTTTCGACTGCGTGTGCCTTGTTTGTTGTGAGTCACAGGGCGACTGCACGCTGTGCCGTGGCAGGGTTTCTTCTGAGTGTGTAGAGACAGTACCTTGCGTGTCCAGTGATGGGTTTGCGTCGCGGATTTCATGGTTTCTGGAATGTGAGCAGACTGTCTAGCAAGATCCAGCAGGACAGCAAGAAGGCTTGGCTTCGACATCCAATTTCGCCGCTGGGTTGAAATCGCAAGGTAAAGCCT